GGCTAGTTGGTACTTAAAGGGCAGCCTCACATGTCTCGCAAAAGACAATTATTACCCATCTTGATTTGATATGCTACTACAAGCCTTTGGAATATCCACCGCGACTAGTAGAAGATGCTGGCGTAAATGCATGAAACAGCCCTAAAAAGCCAGTTGAAGATAGCAATGGTCTCTCACAATGTGGTAAAAAAAAGAAGAAAATGTTTCTTCTTGGTCACTTCAATTATTCTCATGACATATTCTACAGACTTTTGAACGGTTTTCAGTTGATAATACTGCCGTCTTAAAACTTGATTTGGCATTTTGTACAATACACAAGAAGATTTAAGGATCAGGTACATTAAAGCCTAAGTTTAGTCTAAATTAGAAACAGAAAAATTGGCACAAGGGACATAACTTCCATTTAGTATGATGTGTCCCTTGTGCTGATTCTTCTTGTTTTAAGAGAAATCCTCTTTCCAAACCCCACCCCCACTGCCGTAATCTTTCAGCATGGCAGAGGTTAATACAGCTGAGGAGCTCTCATTAAGAGAGGCTGACAATGCCCGCCCCTTCCTGCCAGATCTGCCATTTATAGAAGCCATACTACAGCTTCTGTGAATGGATCTCTGAATTGGGAACAGGCAGATGATTAATAGATCTTGTTGGCTCTGATGTGAAAAAAACGGACAGCTCTTTCTAGAGACACATTTTAAAGAAAAGTACCTGTATGTCAGAGGGTCACTCTCCCATTTTAGCAATTTTCATACCACAGTTGAATGGTTACTCCAGGAATTCTTTGCCATCATCATGTGAGCTGTTGCATTTCTATGTAGTCACTCCAGCACTGCACTTTGTGAGGACCTGTTTACTTTTCTTACAGTGGGCTTTAGCAAGTGGAGCAACACCTAATGACAACTATTCATTGATTCTTTCCTTTAATAGCAGGCCTCTTTTGCTGTGGGTTACACATCATTAATATTCTTTGCACTTCATCAGTCCTGTGATACTGTTTTTTGCTGGGAGTCTCTCCAAGCAAGTTACTGAAATCTACTATAATACCCCTTTGTGTCCCTCACTATGCACCTTCTGTGTGTCTGATTTAGAAGTCATAGCACAGTAACCTCCACTGACCAATCTGCAGCCATCTCCCACTATTTTGAATGAAGGATGCAGTGGGTTAAAGCACTTTACATAAACACCACCTGCACCTTGCCATGCCTTACTAAATAGGTTCCGAAAAAAAAAAAATGGTTTGATCCAATTTCTCTTTTTATTATTCAGATAGCAGTATGATTAAGGCCTTGGTTAATTGTACACAATTTATAATGGTTATTTCAACAGAGTTGGTTAAATACATAGGGGGGATTAATCAAAATGGAGCAGCCATGCATGGCCACCCATCAGCTTCTAGCTTCATTTTGTTCAGCTTTGAAAATTAAAAAAGGTTGATTGGCTGCCATACACAACGGCTCCAGTGTTGATAAATTCCCCTCGTTGTATGTCATTTATCTGACCAGCAAGCTGAAATGTTCAGTTCATGTTGTCACTGAGTAAAGGCCAGAAATGTTCAAGGACCCCAAGGCTGTCTCTGCTTTATATAGTGGGGAACTTTGAGGCTCCTCTCTTTTTTGAGAATTCTAGTTGTCTGGTTGTCAGGCTTCATTACATTGAAACACTGACCTAGGACAAGCATGTAGATTAGAAAAGTCAGAGTAAGGTAAGTCTGACCTCCTAAGCTGCATACTTGTTTCAGGTCATTGTCTTGGAAAGTTCTGAAGCCTTAGAATCGGTTTGACAGCCAGGGAATTAGTATATTCAGAAAGTAAGCAATGGTCACCTTCATACTTCCCTACAAATTTCCCTAAACCCAGGCCATTACGATATTTAGGGACTGATTACTAAAGAAGTAGTACCCCCGCTTGTGCTTGCTGCATATGTCCATTTAGTTCCAGTTCAACCTTTATTTCTTTAAATGTCTCTGGAATCTGTATAGATGTTGAAGCCAACAAAAGCAGGAGTACACTTGTCAATCCTATAATACCTTAGCCCAGGGGTGTCAAACTAGAGGACCTCCAGCTGTTGCGAAACTACAAGTCCCATCATGCTTCTGCCTTTGGGAGTCATGCTTGTAACTGTCAATCTTGCAATGCCTCATGGGACTTGTAGTTTGGCAACAGCTGGAGGGCTGCCAGTTTGACACCCATGCCTTAGCCCCTTAGGTATACCATATGAAAAGCACAGAATTGAAGTATGTCGAAGTGATCAAGCGTGTCATTGCAGGTAGATGCTGGTAAGTAGCTCTCCTTTATTGGCACTCATCAAGCAGCATTGTGCATCTTTGCTGAGTAGCTGACACTTCCAGATTTATTAAAGCTGAATTCCAGGAATTCAGCAACTTTGCAAAAAGTGCAGGCACACAGTCAGTTAAGTCCAATTAGGTGCATGTCACATCCGGGACTTCTCTCTATTATTTATATGTGACAGGTTTATTACACTTCTACGCTTGGGCTGTGAGAGAAGAGAAGCACAAAGAGCAGCTATGTCCACCCCTTCCCTCTGCACATAATATAAAGTCTTCTGTAAATGGGTATCACTTATACACAAAATACAAAGGCTTCTGTGAATGGGCATAGCAGTTCCAGCATCTCTATCTATCTGAGACCACAGTGAGCAATGGAGCTCTGGAAGTTATCTTCCCAGAGCATAATAAATTTGTCAGATGTTGAATAACTGAGAAGTCTAGGAGGTGGCAGGCATCTCGTTAGACTGAACTCATGGCATACCTGCAGTTTTTATAAAGTAGCTGAATTCGCTTTAAGTACAAGGCAAGGAGGAGCTATACAGTGCAATAATCAGGTTCTAAAGCCTGATTGGCTGCTCTTGGCCTATTACACGCTCTGATTTACTGAATGAGCCTGTTGGAAGGTGTTGCTGACAGCTCCTAATTGGTTTGCTGATCTTGCACACTCCATTGCTTGCAATAGTCACACACTTTTGGGCAATTTAAACGAGCTTTCAGTTTCAAAACACCTGAAGAGATTAAACAATTTGCCACTGAGATCTTGGATCATTTTCATGTCACTGGAAACTTTCGGTGGTAGGTTGCATTGATTCATTCACACGTTTTGTAAAATTGCAAATGACAAACCTTCTAATTTCCATTTGTGTGGTTAGCTACAGGCTGCATTCACACTTGAGTGTTTTGTAGCTTGAAGCTCCAAAACAGCTCAAGTTTAAAAAAAATCAGTTGTTCTCTATGGTGCCTGTTCGTGCAATCATGTGTGAACAGGCACCATAGAGAACTGTTGATTTTTTAAATTTGAGCTTTTTTTTTTTTTTTTTTTTTTTTTTTTTTTTTGGAACTTTTGAGCTTCAAGATTCAAGCTACAAAACACTCATGTGTGAATGCAGCAGAGAGCAGGACCTTCACCGGGTTTACCGATGGTCTCTTGTATACAGGTTTCCTTTTTCTAAATTTGCACAAGTGGAAAGCAGTGGTTAAAAGAATGGCTAACCAGAAATGGGTTTCAGTTTTGTGTGGAGTCACATTCTAGCTTCTTTTGTCTCCACACTGGACCGTCATAGAGAGTAAGTCAGCGGGTGGTTCAACCTGTCTCTTTCCGTTTTGAGAGGTGCTGACCCCTTTAAGGGAACACATTCACATGGCATGCTGGGAGATATAGTCCCCTTGCAGCTAGATTGGCATTGTGCTCCTGCTCTGCAGTTATATGTGGGGCCTTTTTACACATTCCAGGGACTTTCTGTACACTCCACCCTCTCACAAAATAGTGCATTTACCTAGGGTAACCAATCAGAATCCAGCAGCTTTTTTTTTTTTTTTTTTTAAATTTGAAGCAGTCACATGATTGGTTGCCATTGGCAACACTTGCGCTTTTTTTTATTATCTGTTTAGTTATTTTGTGTTGACTTTATAAAGTAAAAGAAGTCTACTTTGCACTTGATTTTGTAAAGTTTATAAGAAATAGAATTAATATATTAAGAGATAATAAGATTTCTATAAATGTTTCTAGTCTGTTCGTAGCCAGTTGTGGTTATGTGGCCAAAGTCTGTCCTTCTGTATCCTCCTGTAAACTTCACATGTAATTCCTGGCTGTCATTTTTGTATTATTATTACAGCTGTAGATCCAGGACACTTACCGACCTTGTAACAGAATATTGATGTAAGCAGCTGATTGAATAAATATTTTCAATGCAGGAAAATTATCTTTTGTCTGTGACTTTTTATTTTTAAATGCACTCCTGTCAAGAGTGAAAATTGATAATGGGGAAAGATCACTTAACTCTTAAAACTGCACAAAATTCTTTCATTTTAATCCTTAAAGCTGAACTCGGGCACAAAAACTCACTTTAATCTCTTGCCTTCCAGAGGACTTACCCCCTTTCCTGACCAGGCCATTTTTTGCGATACGGCACTGTGTTACTTTAACTGACAATTGCGCGGTCATGCAACACTGCACCCAAATGAAATTTACGGCCTTTTTTTTCCCCCCCCCATAAGTTGAGCTTTCTTTCGGTGTTATTTGATCGCCTCTGCGTTTTTGTTTTTTTTTTAATTTTTTGTGCTATAAACAACAAAAAACCGACAATTTTGAAAAACAAAACTATATTTTGACTTTTTGCTATTAAACATATCCCGTAAAAAAAATGTTAAAAATCAAATTTCGTCATAAATTTAGGCCAAAATGTATTCTGCTACATGTCTACTAGAAAAAAAAAAAATCCCAATACGTATAAATTGGTTTACATGAAAGTTGTAGCGTTTACAAATGGCAGTATATATACGGTTTTTTTTTTGCTAGTAATGGTGCTCAGCGACTTGTAGCAGAACTGCGGCGGGCATTCTGACACGGGGGGGACTGACTTGTCACTGACATCTCCAGTGACACCAAAACGTGATCACTGCTAATAAAAAGCACCGACGCTGTACTAATGACACTGGACAGGAAGGGGTTAATGTGAGGGGCGATCAAAGGGTTAAATGTGTGCTGTTTTACTATGTGGGCTGTGTGTGTTTCACTGTAAGCACACTGTATGGCTGTGCTATGTAGAGCCATACAATGCAGTGTGCAAGAGCTGACGGGGGGGGGAGAGATCTGCATTGTTTACATACAGGTCTCTTCCCCGTCGGAAATCCTCTGAGATCGTTTGGTGCCAGCGGGGAATCACCGGCCAGGACCCATGATTGACAGCGGAGGCCACGAATGGCGATGCGGGTAAGGCGCGCACATTCCACCTACATGGAACTGCAAAATCACGTATAGACACATGCTTTTGCGCACCCGAGCCGCATACTGCTACAGGGTGGCGCGGAAGTTAATAGATGCCTCAATAGCTATGGGGGATGAAAATCTTTGTTGTGAGCACCAAACACCTTTTCAAACCCAGTTATTACTTTGCATAAGTAGCATTACCATTGTTGTGCTGTACACAGCCTGTGCAGCCTCTGTTCCTGTGAGCTGTGTGAAGGAGCGGTGTGTCCCTTCCCTCCAATCACCTCTAAGAGTTCTCCTCGCTGATGTAACTCAAGCTCCCCACCCACTGCTTTTCAGAGCTGAGAGCGCCTGTGTAAATTCTGTACTTTGAATGGATGTATGGGTAGCACAGTGGCTAAATTGTTAGCACTTCCACCTGGCAGTACTCGGGTCGTCGATTTGAATCCCAACCATGGCACCACTTGCCGGAGTTTGCATGTGCTCCCTGTGCCGACGTGGGTTTCCTCTGGTACTACGGTTTCCTCCGACAATCCAAAGACTTGTGTGTATTTATTACATTCACATCAGTCCCTAACCCTCTACGGGTGTACAATCTAAGGTCCCTAACGCACATACATACATACATACATACATACATACATACACATACTAGGGCCAATTTAAACAGGAGCCAAATAACCTATTAGCATGTCTTTGGCGTGTGAGAGGAAACTGGAGTACCCAGAGGAAAACCACGCAGGCACAGGGAGAACATGCAAACTCCAAGCAGGAGGTGCTGTGGCTGGGATTCGAACCAACTATAGTGCAGGTGCATGGTTAGCTACTGTATTTCTGTGTTAAATTACACATAATAGGGCCAATTTAGACAGGAGCCAAATAACCTATCAGCATGTCTTTAGAATGTGGGAGGAAACTGGAGTATCCGGAGGAAACCCACGTATATACATTATATATGTGTGTGTATATATACGCCTATACAATGTGTATGTACAGTGCTGTGTAAATTGATGGCGCTATATAAGCACCTGTAATAAATAAAAAAAGTGTAGGAGATAGACAGGTACAACTGATTAAGGGTGTATTTGTTTCATCTCAGTGTATAACCTGAGGCCATTGACTGCACTAAGTATATGTAAGGGTTTACAACCACTTTACCAGCCTCCCGCCTGCCATATAGTAAAATGATGGGCGCAAGGCGGTTCTCTCATTCTGGGAGGATGTCATATGACACAGCGGATCACTGATCATGGAAAGAGCTGAAGATGTCCGCTTGGTCATGTCATCAGCTGTGTCCAATCACAGCTGATCACATGTAAACAGGGAAATGCCGGTTATCGGCATTTCTCTCCCCACGAGCTGTCACGCTGACAGCTCATGAGGAGAGGAGAGCCGGTAATCGGCATTCCTCGGAGGGGACATGTACACTGATCATCAGAGCACTGATGATCAGTGTGCCCTGATGACCTGTGTAGCCCCAGCAGCGACACCTGTCAGTGTCCATCAGTGCTCATCCATGCCACCTGCCCAGTGCCAGTGCCCATCAGTGCCTATCTGAGCTGCCTTTCAGTGTCACCTATCAGTGCTGCCTAACAGTGCCATATGAGTGCAGCCTTTCAGTGCCCAGCAGTGATGCCTGTCAATGCCCATCAGTGCCACCTACCAGTGCCTCCTCATCAGTGTCCATCACAGCCTGCAGCCTCATTCGCGCACATCAGTGAAGGAGAAAAATCACTTATTTGCAAAATTGTATAACAAAAAATAAGACAAAATGTTTGTTTTTTTTCAAAATTTTCAGTGTTTTTTGGTTTGTTTAATAAAAAATAAAAAAATCCAGAGGTGATTAAATACCACCAAAATAAAGCTCTATCTGTCACAAAAAAATGATAAAAATTTCATATGGGTACAGTGTTGCATGACCGTGCAATTGTCATTCAAATTGTGACAGTGCTGAAAGCTGGAAATTGGCCTGGGCAGGAAGGGGGTATAAGTGCCCTGTAGGCTAGTGGTTAAAGAAAAAAATGCAGCACCTGCATATCACCAGCAAGGAATACCCTTTGCAGGGGCTGTTTGCAATTTGACTTCAAAATCTGTGCAGGCGTCACCAATCACGAGCAAGAGACTGGAATTTTGATAAGTCAGCACAAAGTACCGTGGCCGTGGTTCAAGGACCCAGAGTTTGTATCTGCTAAAGATTTGTACTTCCTAAAACTGCACTGAAGTTCCCCTTTACAACAGACCTTCATCCAAAGCAATGTCGTTTGGTTTGGCTGGGAGAACTGGTAGACTATGGTTTTCATATGGTCTTCCTGTAGTGAGCGCAGCAAAGTGACATACAAGCTGAAGACAAGGAACAAGCCTCGGGGGATCTTTAGTAAAGCTATGCAGGTGCTAGAACTGTTGTCAGTAAATTGTGCCAGAGGGCAGAACAAGGCACGGCATTTATAAGGTTTCTTTCCATTGCTTTGAAAACACTGATCCTTCATGCCTAAAGAAAAGTGTCATTGCCAGCCGTCCCCACACACCAGGAAATGCTCTTCATTTTCCAGATTGGGCAACTCTACATTAACCACTTGCCCTCCAGAGGATTTTCCCCTCTTCCTGATCAGGCCATTTTTTGTAATATGCCGCTGCTTTACTTTAACTGACAATTACGCAGTCATGCAACACTAAACCCAAATGAAATTCACATCCTTTTTTTTTCCCCCACAAATTGAGCTTTCTTTTGGTGGTAATTGATCACTTCTGCGGTTTTTAATTTTTTGTGCTATACAACAAAAAAGACTGACAATTTTGAGAAAAAAAAATATTTTTGACTTTTTGCTATTAAACATAAATTAAACAATTTAAAAAAAAAAAAATCAAATTGTGTCATAAATTTAGGCCAAAATGTCTTTGCTAAACAAAAAAAAATTCCAATACATGTAAATTAATTGGTTTACATGAAAGTTATAGCATTTACAAATGGCGGTATAGATAATAGATTTTCTTTTCTATACTAGTAATGGTGGCGATCAGCGACTTATAGCAGGACTGCAGCGGCCATTCTGACACTGTGGGGAACTGTCACTGACATCCCCAGTGACACCAATACAGTGATCAGTGCTAATAAAAAGCACTGACTGTACTAATGGCACTAAGCAGGAAGGGGTTAACATCTGGGGCAATCAAAGGGTTAACTGTGTGCTAAGTGTGTGCTTTAGGCTAGGTTCACACCTATGCAGGTTGCTTTTGAGCCATTTCTGCATTGAATTTTGTGTTGCATTTTTTTACATTTTTTTTTTGCTGCGTTGTGCTTTTTTTTTTTTTTTTACTTGTTGCTGGGCAGATTTAAAATGCATTAAAAATGCAATACATGCTTTTCTGCAGCGTTTCCATTGAAATCTATAGAAAAAAAAAACGCAACTTTTTGCGTTAGAAAAAGTCCCTGACGCTTATCAAAAATTACATCGGGTGAAAACGTGGAGATGTGAACATGTCCCATAGGAAATCATGTTAAATGGCCTGTACTGTGTTTCTGCAAAATGCAGCAGAATACGCTTAGGTGTGAAGCTAGGGTTACTGTGTAAGCACAGTGCTTTGTATGGCATCTGCTGTGACTGCTATAAGGGGCTCCCACCATCCCTGCTGGATTTGTATTTCTTTTATACTATGGAGATTGTAACAGAAGAAACTGGAACACACAAATGTGGAAGGGAACCGAGTTGGGAATTATGGCTCACACTGTTTGACCATCCAAGACATAAGAAGCCAGGGGCTGCCTCGGTCCACTAATCAGTCCCCCGTAACTAAAATATGGCTTTAGTTGGACAGACCATTTTAAGATCACACAGACATCACTGTGCTTCCAGCCTGATTAGACAGTGAAGAAGTGGCAGCACTCTGGTAAAGTCATCTTTGTGCTCCACCCTCCTGTAAGAATGTTCACTGTGCTAGATTGGCAGCATTGTGCAAAGACAAAAGGGCTGACTGGCTGACGCCGCTGGCCCCTCCTTTCTGAATGCCGCTGTGCAGGAGGTTACAGAAAACTGACACCAAACTTACCGCTTTCCCGACGCCCTATAGCAGAATTACTGCTACAGGGCGGCAGGACTGCCCAAAATCATGTATATGCAGTATACATGATTTTTCATTTCCGGGTAGGGTGCGTACACATGCCCTGCCCACGCCGCCATTGGCGGCTTCAGCTGACGATCACTGGGTCCCAGATGGTAATTCCTCGCTGGCGATCGCAGAGTATCACTGACAGGGGAGAGACCTGTATGTACACAATACAGATCTCTCCCCTGTCAGCTCCTGCACATTGCTTTGTATTGCTTTGCATAGCAGAGCAATACAAAGCAATGTTCTGACACAATGAAAAAACACACAAAGAACACAAAAACAGCAAATAACCCTTTGATCACCTCAGATGTTAACCCTTTCCTGCCCAGTGTCATTAGTACAGTCAGTGCTTTTTATTAGCACTGATCACTGTACTTGTGTCACTGGGGATGTCAGGGACACCAAGTCAGTTCCCCCCCAGTGTCAGAATGCCTGCCGCAGTCCCGCTATAAGTCACTGATCGCCACCATAACTACCAAAAAAAAAAAATTCCAGTATCTATACCACTATTTGTAGACGATATAAGTTTCATGTAAACCAATTAATTTACACGTATTAGGATTTTTTTTTTAGCAAAGATATGTAGCATTTTCGCCTAAATTTAGGATGAAATTTGGTTTTTAAAATTTTTTTTACTGGACATGTTTAATAGCAAAAAGTGAAAAATACAGTTTTTTTTTTCTCAAAATTGTCAGTTATTTTTTTTGTTTATAGGGCACATAATAAACACAGAGGCGATCAAACTAAAAAAAAACAAACTCAAAAAAGCCTATGAAAACGGTATCAGGGGCATCTCATGGGGCCCCCTACTGACCTCGGG